GTATATATATATATATATATATATATATAGGTGCATAAAGGGGGTGTTTTTGGAAAATAAATCAAAAATTTTGGATATAATTTCGAGAAATATATGGATTGGGAATTCTATATATTTTTTATATATATACATATGTATATATATATATATATATATATATAAACACACATATATATAAACATATATATATATATATATATATATATATATATATATATATATATATATATATATATATATATATATATATATATATATCTCTCTCTCTATCTATATATATATATATATATATATATATATATATATATATATATATATATATATATATATATATATATATATATATATATATATATATATATATATGGGCAAATGGCAAAAAGACCCATCACATGGGACTTAAATGCATTTTGGTCCACAAAAAAAACAGTCTCTCAATTAAGCTCATCCCCATGTCTTTAGTCTAAAATACCCTCAATAATATAATTCTTATCAATTCCACCCATTATGCTCTAACTTCCTTAATATTACACATTGACCCCGGATTTAAACAAATATATCACATTAACCCCCAATTTTTTTTTTTCAGAAAATAATTTTTTTTCTGAAATGTTTTTTTTTTCCGGACAGATTCCGGCGTTGACCGCCGGAGACCGCCGTTGAATTTTTTTTTTTTTTTTTGAAACTTTTTTTTTTCCTGAATTTTTTTTCCGGCCGGTCAACCACCGTTGACCGCCGGTCTCCGGCGTTGACTTTTTTTTTTTTTTTTTTTTTCGAATTGTTTTTCTTAGAAAAAAAATATTTTAATTAATATTACTGTCTTGGCTACTAAATTACTGTCTCAGACAGTAATATTACTGTTTGGGACAGTAATATTATGAATATTATTTTTCCGAACAGTAATATTATTAATATTATTGTCTAAGACAGTTAAATTACTGTTGGAGACAGTAATTTAACATCCAAGGCAGTAATATTAATTAAAATAATTTTTTTTAAGGAAAAAAATTAAAAAAAAAAAAGTCAATTAATAGTTAAATTACTGTCTCCGACAGTTAAATAACTGCCGGAGACAGTAATTTAGCAACGAATACAGTAATATTAATTAAAAATATTTTTTTTAAGAATAAAAAAGTCAATTAACAGTTAAATTACTGTCTCCGACAGTTAAATAACTGCTGGAGACAGTAATTTAGCAACGAATACAGTAATATTAATTAAAATATTTTTGAAGAGAAAAAAAAAAAAGAGTCAATTAACAGTTAAATTACTGTCTCCGACAGTTAAATAACTGCCGGAGACAGTAATTTAGCAGCCAAGACAGTAATATTAATTAAAATATTTTTTTTAAGAAAAAACAAAATTATAAAAAAAAAAGTCACCGCCGGAGACCCGGCGGTCAACGGCAGTTGACCGGCCGGAAAAAAAATTCAGGAAAAAGAAAATTCAAAAAAAAAAATAGTCAACGGCAGCGACCGGCGGTCTCCGGTGTTGGCGGGTCAAAATTGGGGTCAAAATTGAAATTATGGTTAAAATTGGTTAATTGATGAAATTGGGCTAAATTGAGGTGTAAATCATGAAATTGGAGTTAAATTGAGTTTCAATGAATTGGGGATAATTTTGGTATATATAAAAGGATTTTCTTTATTTGCAAATAAGTTTGAATGGGTTGGATTTATTTGAAAGACAAAAAAGTTGGATGTCCCTCTTTTAATTAAGTGCCCTTGTCATGGGTCTATTTGCCATTACCCCTATATATATATATATATATATATATATATATATATATATATATAGGGTTAATTGCAAATACCACCCCTGTGAAATCTCTAATTGTCAAATACCCCCCTATCAAAAAAAAATTCACTCATACCCCCTTGTGTAACATATTTTGAAACACACTGCACCTTTTGCCATTTTAATCTTCTGAAATGATTTGTGCATGCACAAATTAAACATTCAGGCACATTTTTTACCATTTTTCAAAAAACAAAAGGTAAAAAACTCAAAAACTCTCTCTACCCTTTCGATTTTCTTTCGCAAAGCCCGTGCAAATCGTCAACAGATCGGAGGTAATTTTTACGTTTTTACGATCCTCTTGTTATGTAGATTACGAATCCGAAAAAAAAACGAAAAAAATCGAAACTGGGAACGCTCGCC